CAATGGCAGTGTTACCTGAAGCAGATGCAAAAGAGGTAGGAGTAGGACCAGTATCCATCTGGCGAAGAGTCCTACCATATAACTCCAAATGGTCACGGAAGGAGTTGATGATCTCTTCCTTAGGGTCAAAACTGGGATGCCTTTCCTGAGTTACCATGGGACCAGTCTCTTGAGATGCCATATTAGATGAGTTTTACCTTTTCTGATTCTGCTGACTTGGTTTCTTGCCCTAACCAGTTGTTGACTTCTTACCCAAATCATGTGCCCATTTAGGTTTTCCATGGAGACCCCAGCAGGTATCTATGGTGTGTCTTGCCTTCTGGCAGTGAGTGCACCAAAGCTTACTCTTATCATCTGTTCTCTTCTGAGAGTCACCCTTCTACAAGCAATAATCACAAGGGGAGATCCTTACACACAAGGCATCAAGCCAACAAGTAGAGAAAACAGGTCATACGTGACCTATAGAAGCCTTTCACAGGTACAGGATCACACGATCCAAAATAAGCAGAGGAAAAACCTCACAAGGGTGTGCCAACATATAGTGGTTCAGGTCCATTCGTTTTCTTCTTGGTACACAACCAAGGGAAGAGAAGAAAATAATAGAAAAAAAAATGGGGTGGTGCCAGTTGCAGGTCTGATTCGAACAACCCAGATGTACTCCTCTGTTCCGTCCAGATTCAGCAGCTTGGAGAAGACACTTGATCGCCCAGATTCAATGGCCACACTCTGATACCATCTTGACAGTAAATCTGATTGAAGGTTACAGCAAGAGAAGAGAAGAGAAGAGGAGGAGAGAAGAGAAGAGAAGGAAGAAATGTTGAGGCAATGGAACAGTTCTGGCGGCGCCAGCTTCATTATTATATATAGGGCGAAAAAATAAGAAGGGAAATGACCCTTGTGCYCYKRYTAAGTGATAGTACAATAATAGATTAAAATAAAAAAGGCTTTAATCATCCAAACAGACCCTAACAAACATAAAATCAATTATTTTAACACTTTCAACATCTTATATATGTTGTTTTATGTCTTGCCACCCTATAAGGGCATAGTTGTCTTTGTACTGCTCTATTATTTTTAATATAAATAATAAGTGAAGGCGGCGGCCAGATTATTGCTCTCCTTTCTTTCCAACTTCTCTTCTTCTTCTCTCTTCCTTCTTTCTTCAAGAAACTCCTTTTATTTCATATTTTTTAATTCAGCAAGCTTTCTACTGTAAGGGAATTCAGCTTTGTAATCATTTGGTATGAGAAAACAGTGAGAATCTCTCTTTTGGCCTTGCTGTAAGAATTGAAATATTTTACTTAAAAGGAGAAGTAACTATTGGTTCTATAATTTAAGCAAATACAAATGCTAGCACAAAAAAAAAGGAGAAAGAAGAATATTCTTCAATACTTCCAATTGGTTGCAATCTATTACACCTGGGTACTTTAGCATGTCTAGCATAGGTGGATTTGTATCCTCATGATGTGTTCTGCTATTAATGTTGGATTCTTCATGAATGGATCTAATTTTCTCATTTCTTATTGATGTACTATCAAGTGTCAATTATTTCATTTAACCATGGCAATTTCTTTTTTTAGTTTTGTGATTAAAATATAATCTTGCAGTAAGAATCTTTGTGAATACTAGAAGATATATTGCTACAAAATAAGAAATAAAATTGTAGGATCACCATATTGGGTTGAATATTTGCATTCCCATCCATCTTATATTTTTATGTTAATGTTGTCTTTAACTATCCACATTGATGCCTAAGTCATAATAGCTTTCAATTTAATTTGTGAAGTCTGCTGCTGAAATCTGTAAATTTGGAACTTAGTGAATGTGTTCCGTCTATTGTCTCTTTGTTTCATTTCTCCCCCACAACTAAAGCTGTATTATATATTTTTATTTTGCATTGTCATTGTTAACTAATGTATGCTATTGTTTCTTAATTGCAGGACAATGCAAACGGCGGTTGGAGTATTTGGTGGTCATGGCTATACCGATGGAGTGGATGCTCCTCCACTTATGGTGGCAAATGCTGGAAACAGTGACCGTGCCGCTATTTCAAGCTTGAATTGCCCACCTTTCTTAGCAGTGGAGCTTTGTCGAGAACATTTTGTATGTCATGATATAAGTGTTCAATGTCTTTTACAGTAGGAGGCAACATAGAAGTGCAAGTAAGAAGGCTAGCTAAAGTAGAGATTATGTCTTTTTTGAGTGTCAGTTGATTCTTCTTTGATATCTCACCAACAACCTGATTTTAATCACTGAATGAATTTAATTTTCAGATAAATATGAATTCTGATGAAAATAAAACATCAAAAAGAAAAGATATTTAAGTAGAGATTTAGGTTATTTGAGGTCTATGAGTTTGAAAGATTAGGGTTGCCAGGGATATAAAATAGGTAAATTTCAGAAAACTTGAGGATAAAGTTCTCTTATTGTGCAAATTTTGGGTTGGGAGGATTATACAACATTTGACATTGTCATATTTTCACTTTCAAACATGAATGTAAATAAGACTACCAGTCCTATTTTTAGAAAAGCAAATAATTTTTCAATTCTGTTCCTATAAACTGGTTAAGATGATAAACAAATAAAGAAAATAGAGAACAGAAAGATAGACCCATGTACTATTAACCTTTGTCAAAAAGTCAAACTAATTGAACATTCTCTCAGAAGCCAATCAAGAAGGGGTGATGTAGGTAAAGGGTGTCCTACAATTGTTGTACATTGTGAGGAAGGAACAGATTTAGATCAGAAATATAAGAAAGGAGAATTAGTTTCAGATTTTGCAGGGGTTGAAAGATGGATTGAGGGAGGAGATATTGGTAGGCCCCCATAAAACTCAAAAAGGACATAGGCTGGGAGTATGGGGGAAAATTTATTTGAAAGTCATCATACATGCAGTGATGTAGACGTGTGGGAAGAAAGAAATAGGATAACTTTTGACAAGGTATCATTTGAGGCATTGAGGGGAAGGGTCCCTGATCTACTAAGTTCATTGGCTGTAGCTACAGAAAAGTTTAAAGAAATCTTGTTTTCCATATTGAGTAGGAACCTCAAAGAAATCCTACATCTTTCTCACGATCCCATCCCTACAGCTAGACATCCCCCCCCTTTATTTATTTAGTTATTTTGATCAGTAACAATCAAATTTTCATTATATGCTAAAGTGCCCTTAGTTTTGCACTAGAACTTGTTACCCACCCTGTCCTTCGTTTATTCTTTCAATTTTGCAAACACCCTGCCCCCCAACAAGTGCCCTCTGCCTCATCAAAGCATCACTATACACATACCCTTCCTATGGCATGGCTGGGAACTGTGTCATAAATGGAATTTACACAAAAAATTGAAACATCCAACACAACATGGTACCTTTATGGTATCATAAATTAGGAATCCCTGATCAGCAGGAACTTTTCTTGGGGTGTCTTTCTAAAAAAGGAGGCATACTTTGGGCATATAGTGAACCTATAGATGATGAATCTCTAACTTCGAACTTTTAAAAATTCTAAAAGCCTTTTCATAAAGCTATTTAAACTATTTTGACTCTTAAAAATAATAAAATCAATTCTTACAACAGCAACAAACTTTAAAACAACTCTTAAAACACTTACATTGACCAAAATTAGAGTCATACACGAATTACAAAATTCACTCTATGTAGAAATTTGGATAAATATGATTTCTTCTTCAATGGGTTGTTTTCCTTCTCTACATTTCTATTACAAGGTGTCCATCCTTTGTCAGGAATCCCCTATGGTGGGACAACTATGGGTTAGGTTGTTTTCACATGGTTCTATTACAATACTACATAATACTTCTACGACTGCTACCACTAATATGACTTCTGATCCATGACCCACTGACTGGGTCAATTAGGTCATTGGCCAAGTTCTTTTGCAAGTAAATGGTTTGGGGGCTAAACGAACCTGGACCACAGGTTTGAAAACATAGGTGGGAGAGATACTAAAGTAAAAAATCATAGTACTTGTCACCTGCATTTCTGATCACTAAAGGAATCAAGGAAAAAAATGTGGCATATGGAAGCTTTCCTGGTTAAACAATTTTTTTCACGATTACTAGGGATCATTTCTTGGTGCAATGGTAAAACCTTAGGTGACAAACATGAAAATGTTTATTAGAGTCTGAAAGCAGCTACTTTGTGTAAACAGTGCCAAAGGTTAGATGGAAATCCAGTCCACTCCTCCCAAGATCCCAGACAGCTACGACCAACATTGGATAATGGCCCTTGTTTTATCTTTCGCTTTCTCATTTTTTTATATGTTTATTTTGACAACAGGGAATTCACCCATGTGATAAAAGGAGGAGAATTAGTGAGTATCGGCCACTTTTTCCTGCAATTGATTTTTCACAGGCAAGTATATCTGATATCCTGGAATATAACCCGCAAATTGATTGTGATTAAAGGGATATTATTGTCATGTTATTGATTGCTTGGGTTTTAGGTAAGTTTGTATGAAAGTGTTATATAGATTATGTTTGAATTTCCTTTCAGATAGAAAGTGACGAAGACATTCTATGGGAGGCTGACACTAGAGAGTCAAATGAAGATGTTGCAGCTAGGGGAATGAAATTTATGAACTGGTAAGTGCTGTTTTCATCACCATAATATGAATCGTAAGAGATACAAGTTAAAATACGAGTTCTTGGGTAGAAACTAGAAATGTTTTAGCCCTCTATAAATGGAAAATTAAGTTGGAACTCAGATTCTTCTCTGAAACTGCAAACGCAACCACCATGCAAACTTGGGCTTCAACTTGGCCAGGCAGAGGGAAGGCATGGTGTTGTTGATATAGATGTTCTGTTTTAGGAACTAGAAGTGCAAATTGTATAATATGCCACCATTATTAGTCAGTGACTTCTCAAATCCTACTTTTTCTTTGAAGCTTGAGTTTTATTTTATCCTTTTGTTGCTTTTGGCCCTTAAAGCTTAAGCTATGAATCTAGTTATAAATTTCCCAGTTAGTAATTCATATGTATCTGCCATGAATTAGAAGAGGCAATAGTTTATGAGAACTATTTAGACAAAACTGTATATTATTTTCAGTGACCCTTCCTGGTGGTTTTTTTTTTCCCTTTTACCAGGCTGTGGACAAGAGAAGAGAAAGAGATTGCAGTTGTTACCCATAGTGGGTTCTTATATGATACTCTAAGTAGACATGGAAATGACTGCAATTCATTGGTGAAGAAAGAGATCTCCAAACTGTACGTCTTCAGTTTGTTTTAGTTGTTTGAAAATGGTTTCTCAGACAAATACTAGAATGAGCAGAAATATTCCTTGAGTAAGCAATTCAGAATGAAACATATAAAATAAAAATCATAGCTGTCTCCCTCTTCCCCCTTTCTGGTTTTATTTTATTCCCTTTCCCCTCTCCCCATCTCTCTCTGTTTTGACTGTTGATCTGGTGCATTTACAATGAAGATGGAATATTAATCTCTCTCTTAGGGGTGCAACTTGGATAAGCCTGAGTTGAGCATTTTATGTGCTATATTTTGAAGAGGTGTGACACAATGGCCTGGCCCCAATGCAGTATAAATTTCTCAAGCAGGGTACCTAATTTGCACCCCCTACTCAAGCAATTATGATTAAGTGGCATATTTGTGTACTGGAGTGTAGTGTCATGCTTTTGTTCCTGATATTTTTCTTAACTTGATCTTTTCCTTTCTGTGTATCATGTAATTTGTGAGAAGATAGGTTTAATGAAACCTTCTGATTCTTTTTAACTAATATGGGACTGGAATGATAATTGACACATTAAAGGTGCTATGAGCCTATGACCATTAATGATCCTGGTTTTCTGGGGTAAACCAGATATGGACCTAATCTTTGTCTCTCTTTCCTCTCTTATACGAAGTGGCGGTTCTCAGACTTGGACCCATGTTCTCATGCTTGTCAGCCCAAGATTTTACCTATGTACCAAAGCAATTAGCACTATCTTTACTGACATTGATGTACACAAAATTATGTGCCTGCTTGCTTTGTATTTTGTTATTATTAAATGATCAATAACCTTTGCTCTTGCAGCTTTGCCAATTGTGAACTCCGTTCAATGGTGATTGTTGACAAAAGGTGAGCATATTGTAAGAGTTATTCGTGTGCATTGATTTCTGGTTCAATGTACTAACTTTTCTCCAATTTGTAGTATGATAGGATCAGATTCCCCAACTACAAATTATCCAGGAAAGATCCCTTCCGGACCCGATCTTTCTAGTGAAGCTGCAGATGAGAATAATTCAGAAGTACTCAAATCACCGGCTTAGACAGTGGTACCAATTATATATCATTCTTGGGAAATTGTTTAAATGAGACTCGCACTTTATTTAGTATATCTTACTGGTGGTTAGGGCACTTAAAAAGATTGAAGCAATCTCAGAACTCCAATCAAATTATGATTTTATATGATTGAATTGCAGAAAATACATGTCTTACGCTATGAAATATTCTGCACAAGCAGCGGAAAGAAGTCTGTTTTACACAGGCATCATTTAAGACTTACGAATCATTGATGTCCTGGGAATATGTAAAGGCCTGCCTCGTATTTTCTTCGCTTTCCTAAATCAAGGATTATATAAATGCAGTTTTCTAAACTGCAGCCTCCCAAGATGTAAGGTACATTGTCAGAACAATGTACACGCTAGAAAAACAATATGGATTGGACGGTATGAAAGAAAGGGTCGGATTTGAATTTGCTAGATTAAGGGTTGAAAGTGCTTTCTCTATTGGCAAATTTCAGCTCATGGCTCCCAACACGTGGCAATATAACATTAGCCGTCATTGTTCAAAGAAGGGGATCTTGGTTAGGCACTGGGGGGGCTTTTTGAATATGTTTTCAGTTCAATTGCTTTTGAGAGACCTTTTTGAATGTTTTTCCTTATGTGAGTGGGAGGTAAGACAATATTGTAGGTTTACCTGAAAGACGGTAGATGGCCTGAGAGGAAGAAGAAGGGAAGGGGTTGCAGGAAGTTTTAATATAGGCTGAAAGAGGATTTAGGGTATAGTTCAGCGCAGCTTACGCACAAGGGTCATATTGAACACCTGTGGAGAGCTTTGACCCTATAAATTATAATATAGAGGAAAACTTCCCAACAAAATAGGAAAACATATAATTAGAAAGGAGACTTTCTAATTACATGTAAATCTGAGATAAAGCGGTCACAAGTAAAGTTTCATCACGTGTCATTTTAGGTATCTTGAGATCTGGGTTTGTGCCCTTTTCTTTCTTGGGATCTGCACACAAGCATGAACTCGGCTATAGTCCTACTACTAGAAACCTCTCATGTCTTGGGTGTTGTGGTTTGTTTTGATGCACTGGTTTATCATTGCTACTCTCACGAGTGTCACATAACTGCACTATAGTGCTTAAGTGGAGCGTTGTCGCTAGCATGTGTATACACTGCTGCGTTTCAGTGCATTTGGTGATATGTTATTGCAGTGCCGGAGATTACCACGCTTATGTATTAAATTGTAGGATACTATAATTGTGTTGTGCGCTGTGCGTTGTGACAACAGTTCGTCACACCTTTTTTTTTGAGTTGGAACAGTTCGTCGCACCTTACTATCTATTCTTTGTAGTTTAGCCGTTGAGTAGAACTTCACTATGAGGAGCTTTCAGTTTATTATTCATAATCAGGGTGTCTTTCAGAGCAGTTTATTCATCTGAATTGTGGTGGATATTTGCATTTGCGATGCAATACGACTGCGACGTGATCACTTGCTTCAGGTGTTTATAGAGCAATTTCCTTAGAGTCAAGGTTCAAAAAATCATTACGCACTGGCCCCTTCTCAATACGCCCCTACAGGGGTTGTATCGGGTCGGGGCCTGGTTCAGAGGGTAGCTAGCACTTAAACCAATCCCTCTGAACCGGTACTGTAAAAAAATAAATCAAACTCAAAAAAAAGGGCCGATACAGGCTGATACGCCCTAGTGGCGTATTGCCTTGTATTGATACTTTGAACCTTGCTTAGAGTATAAATCTATGCATTTGCACCTTAAGCCATGTTTAGTTCACTGTTCTGAGCCTCATTCTTTTAATTCTTGCTCATTCTAGACAAGAATTGGCAAGAATGAATAACATTTAGTGTTTTGTTACAAAATTCTTGCCATGGGCCACATTCTTTTTAGAATAAAAAATCAGTCCAATAGCACAAAAATTAAGTAGCCTGCAAGGCTGCAACATGAAAAATAGTCATCCCCCGTCTTGCTCATTTTCATTCTTTTGAGGAAACTTTGCCTACAAAACTGCTGCTATAGATGTTTACTTTTGTGAAAGCACTTTTGCAAAAGTAATTTTACATGAAAGCACTTTTATAAAAGTAAATTTTATATGAAATCACTTTTATAAAAGTAAATTTATGAAAAGTACTTTTATGAAAGCACTTTTACAAAAGTATTTTGTGAAAGCACTTTTATAAAAATACTTTTATTAAAACACTTTTATAAAAATACTTTTACAAAAACACTTTTTACAAAAGTACTTTTAAGAAACATCTATGCCAACCGGTAAACATTGGCTGCCGGCCATCCACCGGTATGCATCTACGCCTACAGTTTTGTTGACCTAAGCTAGCAGTTTATGAATACCGACAGTTTTTTTTTTTTTAAGAATGAAAATGAACAACATAAAACACTTGTCAGTCTAAAAAGAATTCATTTTTAGAAAAAAAAGTGTTTGATTCATAACAATATTTTCTCATTCTGCCTATTTTTACCCATTCTTGTCCATTTTAGAATTTCATCTTGGATAAGAATGAGAAAAGTATCTAACTTCTAATATTGCTGTTTTAAATGCAAATGAATGGCAACTCCTGCTGCCTGCTATACTTATTAGTGGAAGAATGGTGGGCGGGGCACTCTTTGATCTTAAAGAGAATTCGATCCAGTCGGCTCTACTGAGATCCCGCATAACTAGGAGGTCCCATCCCAGGATCATTGTAGTGGCTTTAGGAATATGACATTATGACCTATGAAGAAATTTTAGTATTTTCAAAAATAAATAAATAAATAAATTTTAAGGATGCTTGATCTGGTATCCCAAATCAAATACCAATGAGCCAGTGAATGATAACGAGTATGAAAACTTATCCTTCGCATGGTTATACTCGATGAATTTTGTCGATTTTACAATAACGTAGTACGCGAATTTTACAAAAGTAGCCATAAAATCAAGTTGATGCACATGCACCCGGGCTTTGATTTATATTGTATCCTAATGGATGGAGTGCTATCTTGCGAATGCTCTACGCATTCCAAGATTATATAGAAATTTGAATGACCTTGGGTGCTTACGTGATAAATAAAGGAATAAGCACAACTGTTGCATAAAAATAATGCATTTATTGTGAAAGGAACTAATACAATATTTGCCAAAATTAATTTAACTGCCCCTAATTGTCAAATCCAATGGCTTTTAAACATTGATTTTTGTGGAAGAAAACAAGTTCTCTAAAATTGGTTTTGTGATTGGACCATGTGGACTCAAGAGAAGTCTCCTATAAAGACTACAACAGCCAACAAAGACCAAATGGAGACAGTATCACTACAGCCAAGCCTGAACTTTCATCAGCTTAAGCTTTGAAAATAGGAAGCACCAACCCAACTAAGATTGATAGTAGGACAATTACAAGGGCAGCTACAAAGTTGAAATTAGTCAACTTAAAAGATTCCCTGTTTATTTCTTTTCCCGCTGAATCACTTTCCATCTTCCTTACAGAGTCGTAATCAGATCCTGATGTTGAATATCTAGTGAGTACTGCATCCCAGAAGGATTTTGTTGTCAATGATGTGGCTTCTGTTTCTGGCTCCAAAATTGATGAGGTATCTGTAGGAGCTTCCATGGACATCAACTCCTTACAATGTTCTTTTAGAACCTGATGAGGATGAGAAGGAAAAGTTGAACAATCAATATGACTGCTCATCTTAAAAATTTATTTTACTTACTATTCACTATTTTCAGAGAGCATGGTCCAACATCATTTTGAACGTAGCCATCATGTTAAAAGTTAAAACGTAATCTCCTCTGTGGACTCCACAGTGCACGTTAAAAATGTCTGATCATTTGCTGCTAATTTGTAATAAGCCAGATGTAAGAACTGATATGAGAATATTCATAGATAAGAATCCGTCCAAGAATTGAGAATTGCAATTTCTGTTTTATGTAATTACTTATTTACAACCATAACAATGGAAATAATGAGAGTTTCCGGTTATGTTTATATAAAGTGTGTGGCTGTTGAGAATTTATTCAATGTCAAAATCCCTTTTAGTTTTCTTTTAGCAAAAATGTCAAGGGATACTTCAACATAAAATTGAAATAAAAAAGAGGTTAATATGCACAAATTTGGAAATTGCCTAGTCATTGTAAATAAGTGAAACTGCAGGTATAAAAGTTGGAAATAAATGCTATGAGCCTACTTCTCAGGTTCACCTATTAACTTACAGTTACCCCGTATAGTCTGGGGTTTGAGTTACTAATTCCATCCCTCATTAACTTGCCATCAGTTTTTGTGACTAAATTGTTTAGAAAGCTTTTAAAACATTTCAAAAGTCTATTTTACCCTTCAATAGCACCATCTTGTATATTACATAAACAAAACAACTTATCTTGAAGACATTTTTTTCTGCCATAATATTAAGGTGAGAATGAAAAGTTGAAAACAGGTTTAAAAAATAAAATAATAGAAATTTGAGATGGAAAAACTGTATTTAGTGTTTATAAATGAGGTTGCTTTTGTCAATGTCAAAATAATATCTATTTTAAAAAGCACAACTAATATTTTTATTAAGGGTGTTTTAGTAAAATAACTATTTGTCTTAATCCTATCTCTTACATCAACAAACCCCATGTAGTTTCCTAGTAAAATGGGGTATAAGTTAATGGGTAAACCTGAGGGAGGTCTTAGTATTTTAACCAAAACCCCAGAACAGTTAATAGTAACTAATATATACAATATGCACATTTATAAGACTGTGCATAAGAGATATAAATTCATTCCTTTTCCTTTGAATATGTTCAGACTTCAGAGAGATCTCTTGATAGTATAAATATAGCATACTGCACCACAGAAGAAAAATTCCGCACCTATGATAATAAACAAGTAATAGGTTATTCTAAGACGACAAAATCGAGGGAATAAACCTTTGCTTCTTATATGCTATTCTGGTAAAACTAGAGAAAAAAAAAAGTATTTTTATAAGTTCTACAACAAACCTCAAATGTGTCTGATGGCTGCAAATAGTCACAAATGAAGGCACTAGCCACCCAAGGAATAAGAACTCTTCGAGGAAATGAGAGCTTGCATGGTTTTCTGTTGCCAAAAGTAACAAGTCTAGTTAGTATTAAACTCGAGCAATATGCTCAAGCCATCTTTTGAAAACTAGTTTGGGCATTGAACTGGGCAGTGGTCCAGTTCCCCATTCTCCTGGTTTAACCAGGTGAGTCAATGGTCCTTAACAAGAAAAAATCCTCTAAAACCAGGAATGAAGATCTTGTCCACTTCCCAGTTTTCTGGTTCAAATCTTTGGCCAAATATGGTTTTAGTATTTATAAGAAACCTCAGGGGAGGTTTAAAGGTTTTCCCATGCTTTTAAAACCATAGTTTTCCCATAGTCTCCCCATTTAGGAGAGGCTTAGTATTTTTCCCATGTAGGACATTTTTGGTATTAGATTCAAATATCCAAACCCTATAAGGGTATCATTATCACCATCATCATCATCTAAGCCTTCTCACAACTAAATGGGAACGGCTTCATGAATCCTGTTTCGCCATTCCATTCTGTTCAGTTCCATATCCATTGTTAAATTATGGATACTTAAATCATTTCTTATTACTTCCACCCAAGTCCTTTTCAGTCTGCCCCTAGCTCTTCTAGCCCTGTCTACTTGTAACAAATCATTTTTTCTAACAGGTGTAATAGATGTTTTTCTATGCACATAACCAAACCATCTCAATCCAGTCTCATTTATCACCAATTAGAGCAGCTACTAGGTTCTTTCATATAACTTCAATTCTAACCCTGTCCTTTCTCGTTTTACTACTCATCCATCTAAGCGTTTTCATTTCTTCCACATTCATTTATTTTGGAAATGCTGTATCTTAACCGTCTGACACTCTGCTCAATACAACATAGCTGGCCGTGCAACTGTTTCATAGAATTTTCCTTTTTATTTGCCTATCACATAAGACTCTGGATGCAACTCTCTATTTCACACATCTCGCTCTAATTCTATGGGCCACATCCTCCTCATTCTCTCCTTTGTTATGAATTACGGATCCAAGGTAATGAAAGAGGTCACATTGAGTTATCTCAATCTCTCATTTACATTACATATATTCTGTTTTAGTCCTGCTTATTTTAAAATCTTTTGCTTCTAATGCAGTTGTTCATAAAGCTAGTTTTACATTTAATCCTTCGTTAGTTTCATCAATTAATAATATGTCATGAACAAAAAAAAATCCAAAACACTATAAAAGGTTAACCACAGAACCATTTAATAGGGGATGTTTAAGGATATAAAGATAGTACTGAGGGGAGATTTTATTGAGCAGGGCATTGTACATGTTTTTTGAGTTGATTAATACAATACTTTACCCGTTTCTCAAAAATAAAAATGAGGGGAGAATTTAATCTATAGATTCTATACTACTTATAAAAATGCGAATAGGGTCTGGTTTCTGGAATTTTCATTAGACATAAATTACCCCTTAATCACTGAATTTCTTGGGGAAAAATGTGTACTTTGATAAAGCACCATAATTAAGACAGCTAATATTATAAGTCATTGTTGAAATAAAAGGGCTATTAAAAAGTAGTTCCAATCCAATGCAATTGGACTTCATAAGGGATTCTTCCAAGTCCTATATTTTGATTTCTCACTAATAAATTATACTAATTAAATTAATATCTAATAATTTTAACAATACAAAACCTATGTATTTAAAATTGACATGAAAGCGAAACCATCATTCAATTCAGATGGCAGGTAAGTAGTTAAAATCATCGGATTAAATGGGTAAGCCCATGGAGTCATATTTATCATATTAAAAAATAAGTATGACAATTAATAAGAATTATTTATTAATGATTGAAATGAAATATAAAATTTAAAAACTATCCAAAAACAAAATCATTTTCCTATTAAAGTGGTGGATTAATGGTTCAACCTTTTAGGCCAAATGGGTAAAATAAAAATTTCAAAAAAGATAAAAGCATAGAATTACTAAAAAAATAGAGAAATTTTGAATAAAAAATATGTATTTATCATGTCAAAAAAAAAATAAGTGTGATAAATAAAGTTATTTTTCTTAATGATAAAATAGAATAGAAAGTTAAACTAACTCGTAAAGAGAACTATTTTCTAAGTAGTGGTCAACGGTCCATAGAGGTCTACTTAGGTGAACCCAACCCAACTTGAGATTGGACTGACTTAGATTGTGATTTAAGACAAGCTAGTCTTGGATTTTCAGTCCTTGGCTTGGGTGGGCCCAAAGTTGGTCCTTTCTATTTTTGGGATTGGGCTTGAACCTAGCCCTTGGGTAGGTTGAGCCCAGCCCAACCATATACAAATAGAGACATATTTGCATATATAATATGTATATAAATACATAAACACATTCATTTATGCCAAATTATAGACTTATAGTATGGGCTGATTTAGCAACATAAGCCCAACCCCCTGACCCGAACCCAACACAAGTGCATCAAATTCCAGTGCAATTAGGCCTGGATTGGACAGATTAGGCTTGCGCTCCTTAAACCCAATTCTTAGGGTTGGGCCTAGATTGAGCTTAAATTAGGCCTAACCCACCCAACTTGCTATGGATGCAAATGGATTGGGTTGAATTTGGATAGGGGTATATCTGAATCCGATCCAATAATGTTAATCCTATATCCGATCCAATGATTTGATGGATCTCACAAAGATTAATTTGAATTTGAATCCATTAAGGATATTGGACATCAGAATCTGATTTGATCCGATTTGATTACCCATAAGTCTGTAAGGTTTAACAATTTATTAATAGGAAAAAGAAAAGAAATAAAACAGTCTATACAAAGAAAAACAAAAAAAAACACATATTTTTCAACCATTTTTATTATATATACATTTATTTTTATAAAACAACATAAATAATGTAAAAAATCAAATTACAAAAATGCAATATATAAAGGTGATTCGAATTCGATCCTATTTTCAATCATATCAGCTTTGAATTCAAATCAAATCATGATCTGATCCATTTTGCACTCCTACAACTTGCACCCCTAATGATTCAACTACTTGCATACCAATTATGTCATAATTATGTAATAAAAACTCTAAATTGATAAAAACAATAAATATAGAAAAATACAAAAGAATTGTAAAAAAATTGTGCAGGCATCTAATATCATACATTTATCATATTAAATAAATATAGACTTCATAAATAAACAGTATTTTTATTAGCAATGGAAATGGAAATGCATAATTTAAATGCACAAGCACACCATGCTTTGATTACTTAATTATCTTTTTATAATGGGTTTAGATAAGCATACTGAAATTACCATTTTTTTAGCTATTATTGAAATTACCACGTGCAGCGTGCATACACATTTACTAGTATTGTTAAAAACATCAGGTGAGGTTCAAGGATTTTTCCCTAAAAATATTGGTTTTATTCATCGTCATCATCTAAGACTTATCCCAACTATATGGGGTCAGCTACATGAATCCTGTTTCATCATTCTGTCTGTTTAATGTCATATACATTGAAAATATTGGTTTTAGTGACAGATGCAAAAACTGATAGGATACTAGGTGCCAGGTCATTATTTACCATTAAAAAAAAAAAAAAAAAAACATAGATACTCATCCTAAGGGATATGAACTCTAGTAGTTAGTAAAGACAATACAAGCTAAAAATGCATGAAGAATCAATAAGTTGGTATGCTGGAAATTGATATGGTTAAAAACTAATTATAAATGATTCATCAAAAAAAAAACCTAATTATAAATGACTGGTGCATCCGGCACTAGGCTGACAACATTCAACAAACTAAAGGTAACTCTAGCATAAGGTGGCAAGCACCTATTTTTGCATTGTGCATCTGTGCATGTATGGGCAATTGTTCAGACACCCTGTATACTGAGAAGTATGAACTAATTTTTTTTTGATAATTGAAATAATTTTATTAAACAGCAATAGACAATAGTACAAAGTCCCCAAGGAAAGGCACGAGTTGCAACCTCTCCGGGCTAGTTAAGTACTGAGAAGTATGAGAAGTATGAACTAATTTTGGTTAATAGAGAACATGTCTTACCAGTTAATAACTTAAAACCAGCTGGATAACAGAAGCCAATACTTCAGGCACAGAATAAATTAGAGATGGATAAGTTTGATTCATATTCAGACTTGTTGGCACCTGCTTAAGCAGGAGGGATTTGAAGTTTGGGATCTAATAACCACAATGGTCGTTGGGAGAAAATATCAGGGCTATACGTCTCATTAAGTAGGAAGAACCATAAATCAAATATACAGAGATTCAAACAAAATAAGAAAGGTTAACAAATAAACTCAGAAGATTAGGAGAAGGTAGACAAGTTCTACAGAAGAAAAAGATGAAATGAAGTAGGCAAAGAAACATTTGGGATCTAACAACTTCTCAGGTTTGTCCAAAATTTCAAATATATAAATATATATGAGATTGAGATATAGAGATTGTCAGTGATTATGAAAGAAGAATTTGATGAAAGCCATTTATCGTTGTAGGTAATCTTAGAGCGATCTATCAATTGGTCAACCAACAAAGATTTATCCCCCTATTTGCACTCAGCTGCACAAATCCTTCTATGGCCATATATTTGCACCCAGGTGATAATGCAGAACATGGCTTACCAAGAGAAATAAGGGTTCAGAATTCATGTCAAATTGGTTTGGCATATCTTATGATTGCTTCCAGCCAGTTACAACTTCCTCCTTTATCCATGGCTAGGACAAGCAATCAAAAACCAAGTTTGGCATATATTTGTGAACTTCATAGCAATCTTGGAAGAAAGCATCAACTTACCTCAACAATTGCAAAATATGTTGGGGGATGGGTCTCTCAGTTGATATCTCATTGCTTGCTTCCTCACTATCATCAATAGCTGAATGAGTAACATCTTCTGCCTCATCACATATTATATCCAATCTGCTTTGCAAACTCATGATTATATCCCCCTAAACAAAGAAGACCAACCATTGTCCTTTAAGACATAGATAAAACGAAATAAAGGGATACATACAAAAGCTGCATCTTCTATAAAAACGAGAGCTTCAAGAGCTGCATCATTGGCAGTACATAGAAAATAAGTGGTAATAAATCAATCTAGAATCTAAATAGGCCAGTACTCAATTTTGGTCCCAGCTATCCAGGGTTTAGGGAGAGGTAGACTCAATACAGACATAACCTTTGGCTGTATTTTTATTTATTTATTTATTTTTACATAAAGTGACTGCTCTAAGACTTGAACATGTTTTCTATAGAATTTGAAAATTAGAAATAAAACCATAGGGTTTAAGAATTACAAAAGATGGAAGCACCCTCCACCCTTTAAATCTACCAAATGCTTTCATATCAAAACCAGAACTTGTATCACATAAAAACTGCAACAAGGGGCCTAGGCTTCCCAAATTCTAGGCAAGAGAAACATCTAATCCTTCACCCCAGAGAACCTTATAAAAACTTAATGCTATGTTTGGTTTTAAGGAAAAGGTAGGGAAAGGAAGGGAAATGTAGGAAAACCAATACAAGGTTTGTAAAGGTTTCCTTACCTTTCCCTTCTGTTAGAATGCTCGAGTCGGGTATTTTGGCCATTCTGGATTATCTGCTTGAGAGTGAAAGGTCTATTGTATCTGAGTTTAAGTTGTGTCCCATCTTCTATGAGGGACAAAATGGTCTTTCCTGTAACTCTATGTTTTTGAATAAATACAAGTGGGTCAGCTAGGGGAGAGTGATTTTGACTCTCTTCTAGTCTGGCCGAACCTTTCTTTCTTTTTCTTCTTCTTCTTCTTCTTCTTCTTCTTCTTCTTTCTCTTTTCTTTCTTCTTCTCTACTTCAACCTAGAATCTGCTAGAGTTTACTAACACCTTCCTTTCCCTAATTTTTCCTTTAAACCAAACACAACCTAAAGGAAAACACTCCCTCATGCTATCTACTTGTGGAGAATCTTATTGAGGGAGTTGATGGAGGATATTATGCCAAGAATTTAAGAGACGCAAGCACCTATTAAAGTGTTAGACACAGACATACCTTCTTTTACTTTTTTTTTTATCAGCAAGAACTGATAATTTTTATTAAGAAATGCTAAATCATGATAACATAAAGGATCAGAGTTCCAATCCCCACAAGTTACATATGTTACAATTGCGCCCAAAACAACTGTTGCCTATATACCCCTTATTTTGCTAGAGTATCAGCCATCCCATTTGCAGTCCTCACCCAATTGAATGTAATGTTCAGCCCCTGTGTGATGCTTTCTATTTTCCTAAACTCATGCCTCAAGATCCATGGCATGAGCTGTTTATTCTTGGCCCAAGAAATGACCAGCTTTGAATCTCCCTCTCCTTTTACATTCCAAGCATGATCATGCATGGTTTGGATACAATAAATAAAATCCACAATAACTCTTGCTGAAAACTCCTTGCTATTATCTTATTAATTTAGCATGGCAGCTCAAAATCTTACATCTCATTATATCTTATTGGGATAAGAGCTTATTTTTACGTCTAAACAATAAAAACAAGTCTGGTAAAGCTACCAAGAAGTTATTGTGGCTATTACAGCTTTTTCTATTTAAATAAAGATATGAGGGAGATTCTTGTCTTCATAAAAGTCTCAAAATGTTAAAAGTAAATTAAAGCTTATGTATAATAAGTGGTAACCTGATAACTTAGGGCCTGTTAGTTTCAAAAACAACTTGTATATATCTTGTTAACCTTTCAAACGTTAACTCCAACTGATAAAACTTAAAGGACCGAATTGTCCTTAAACTGTTGATTAAATTTTCAAAGCATGCCATTCTCTCCTCTCTTTTTCCTCTTTTCTTTTTTCCTCTCAATCGTTTTCTCTTCTCGACCCAAAGAACCACACCTTTCCAGAAACTGTAACGTCTACCGGCAATGATGCATTCTGATGGGTGGGCAGGCACACTGCCTGCCTGGCTGCCGCCACTTCTGCCATTGCCTTTTATTGCTTTAACTCTTCTAAGCATTCCTCAAGCTCTTTCTTCTTCTGCTTGAAATCATTTCAACTTCTTTTTCTTAAAAGGCATATGACAAGGGCACTCAGTGAAAGACGCAATCACTGCCAGAATTTCAAGAGGAAAACTAGTTTCCGAGACGATTAATGATGCAAACACTACACCCTCAATGCCAATGTTCTCTAATCCATTTTGTACTGAGATTGTAGTACTATCCAATCAATCGATAATGGATGCAAAACAGATGCCGGAACTACTTGGTGTCCCTTTACCAGTAGTATATAGATATATATCAAAAGGTGGTGGGTTACAGAGCCACAAAATTACCAGAAAGTGAGTGAATTAAGAAGAGATCCCAGTAACCTTATGGAAGAGATTGGGAACCATGGATTGAAGGGTTGCAAAGAGTCTGTTCATGTGGACTCTCCGGTTGCTTTCCAGCTGAAGAGGTAGTCTTGAACTTGAAGCAGCTCTTGTGTTGAAGGTGGTTCCCCTGAATGGAGAAAACTCAGATAATGGAGCAATTACAAAGTTGCTAAACCCCAGAGAGAGAGAGAGAGAGAGTCGTTTGTAGGCTAACCCAGAAATATTCAATTTCTGGGTTCTGGTTTTTTGTCATAGAATCTGGAGCAATATTGATATTATGAAAGCATTTGGAGTAAGGTATTAATGGCTCTAAACGGTGCACTAATAGTGGTCCTGTTTATGTTATATGGGTCCGGTCAACAAGGCATGTATAAGTTGTTTTTGAAAGTTCAGGGTATATATAAGTAGTTTCTCAAATGTAAAGGGTATATACAAGTAACTAACCCTTTTATTAAATAGTTAAAGAAACTTTCTCATATCCAGGGTTGAAACAGTCGATCGCTATTTTTCAAAGATCAGCATTCAGATTTCAGAACAACATTGTCTACATTCAAATATATAACCAAGAAAAAAGTTCTCCGACTCCAATACACCTCTTAAAGTAATTATTACAATTTTCAAATGTCAGACATCAGAGGAAACAAACAGGCCCTTACTGATCAGAGTAAAATTTCTGATATAAGTGGGCCTTTCAAAGGTGTAACCAATTGCATGGAAAGGAGGATGACCACTTGTCTTATTAGTTTGATGTAGGTGGCAATTTTTCAGATTTCCAAGCACCACCCGGGTATATACACATAAAGTTCAAGTATTGACCAAAGCATTTACTACACTACAGTAAGAAAATTTTTTGAGGACCCAAGTTTGTTCCTACTTCCTAGCTCTACACCTACAGTCCTACATTCTCACAGAAGACAAGAAAAAACCTAGTCATACAACCGCCACCAAATACATGATGCTATTAACAACTTTAGAATTAAGAATCAATACCAAGTTGTCAAAAAGGAAAAAGAACATGTGAGACCTGCTCTAAGTAATACCATCCATATAAAAAGCTTTAGAGGCTTGGTAAGGAAACAATGAAAGACACACAGAATACTCTCATAACTAATTACATAAGCAGCATTGCAGACAGCATTATCTCACTGGCATGCATAATCATGTTAGATGTAGAGACATGCCAGAATCCACTGGGATGTGGTAATATCAACTACATATTGGATTTTCAATTCTCCATGACAAATCTGTACCTGTTGAGTACCAAGAAATGAAGGGAATGACTTCATGTTTGCTTGTAAATTTATTCAATATTTGACTACTGAACCTAAACTAAGCCACATAACACGTAGGTAGAATTTAAAGATTAATACTGAGGATGATTACATTTTAATACCTTTATATCAGCTATAGCTTGTGAAATAGGTTCCTTTGGACTCAAGTATGCAAAAGAACATATGGATCCAGTAAAGATCACAATACCGGCAACCTCCTTTTGGCTGCTTGCTTTAACATCAATTTCAAAGTGTTGGCATTGGATGGATTAAAAAGACTGAAAAAGTACAAGTAAAAAATAATTTGGTAATTTACAAGAGTATAATATACCTTCAATCGGTGCATCCTTAATGAATGGTAAAAGCAGTTCAACATCATGTGAACCATCTGTAGTGCATGGTTCATCTTCAACCACCTAAAATATGCATGTAAGACAGAAAAACCCCATCATGCACAGGGAATACAAGAGCTAAATAAAATGAGTCAAGCATATAAAATATTATGAAAAAAAAATGTTATTTCAAGTATGAGAGTGTTAGTGGTGTTAGTGAAGGGGTATTTTGGTCTTTGCACTTGTTGAGAATGTTGATGTGTACTGTTATGTTAGTTCGAGTGCCTCTTACTTAAATAAGGGCACTTAAGTCTTTTCCAATAAGTTAATAATAT